GAAAAAGCGAATTAATGATTAATGAGATAGCTATAAACCAAGAAACTATTAGAGAACAAACAAATAAGGACACAATACTGTCAAAAGTAAAATTATACATAAGAAAAAATTGGAATACCTACAAATATGATGACAACAATTTACAACCATATTTTAAGAAACGCAATGAATTGTCAGTTGAAAATGACATAATAATGTGGCAAGGGAGAATTGTTATTCCGCATTCAATGAGAAACGCAACATTGAAGTACCTTCATCGAGGACATCCAGGAATATCAGCCATGAGAGCAATTGGACGATTTTATGTTTGGTGGCCATCAATCTAGGAAAATATAGACAACTACGTGAATTCATGAAGAGTGTGTCAAAAAAATAGACCGAACAACTCGGAGCTACCCATATATTCATGGTCAATTCCAAACCACGTATGGGAAAGACTATACATAGATTTTGCAGGTCCATTTCTAGGAAAATATCGGCTAGTTTTATGCGATGCTTTATCTAAGTGGGTCGAGATAAAACCAATGAACAAGACAACAACAGATAGATTGTGCAGTGAACTTGACGACATCTTTACCACCTTTGGATTACCACAGATTATTGGTTCTGATAACGGACCTCAATTTACATCAGAAACTTTCACAATGTTCTGCAAGAAAATCCCATCCACGCACCAATGGATTAGCTGAACGTCCAGTGCGAACTTTCAAAACAAGGATGGCCAGTGAACTCGACAAACAATACGATCTAACAGAGAAATTACGGAATTTTCTTTTTATATATAGAAACACTCCACACAGTTCTACCCTGAATTCTCCAGCTCAGTTAATGTTTGGACGACAACTCAACTGCGTTTTGGATAATGCTCGACCCTGTATTAGAAAAACGCTACAACAAAGAGTATTATTATATCTACAACATAGACAAATAAAAGCAAACATCATGTCAGAAAATAATCCTAATAACTACCAACCTGAAAAAAATATTTACGTTAAAATTAGAGATGATAAGAAATGGCAACCAGCCACAGTGGAGAGGCAAACACACAGATATTCCTATATCATAAAAACACCCGATGGTGTTTTAAGCAGAATTAAGCAGATAACTCTAGTGCAGTAATCTCAACGCAAGTAAGCAGTGATATAAACGATTCTACTCCATCTACACCACATGTTAATAATGCTCCACCCCAAATACCCGTTTTACCTAACACTCCATCCAGAACAGAACCTGCTCATGGAGATATTCCCACAAGTCGTAGGAGTATTCGAATAAGACACCCACCACGCCGTTTGATTGAAGAATTAGAATAGGACGGGACGAATGTTATAACGTTGAATCTCTTTGCTAGAGGTTTAGTTTTATTTATCGCTATGTTAATACTTTCAAAATGTCAGTGACAAAGAGTAGAACAAAAAGACGTCATTAATAACTATACTCTATTTGAGGGAACGTAACCACATAACGCACATGATACCACCGCAGAGATTTTCAACTTAACACATGGCTCGATGTCCGCCGTCGACATGCAAGATCAGTAGCAATAGTATAATAACTGTACACGTCTTTGTGATTTTTAAATTTAAAGTTATAACTTTGCTGTTTGTTTAGAACAGACGTTTCTTGTTGATTGCTGAATGTTTATTTAGATGATTTAATTATGAATATAAGACTTAATAACTGATCATAGTTTTTTAAAGTCTTAATTTCGAAAGCACAAGTTATTTGCACATAACACTTTGCACAAACGTCATTTTAGCCAGCAGTCATGTTATTTTGTACGAATACATAGTATATTTGATACACGAGTAGTATATAGATATTAAACGGATTTTTAATTATAATTATCGTTTTCATGACTTTTGTTGCTGATTAATAAAGCCTATTATCCATTCACCATAAATAATATAAAAATATTATTGAGACTTGATGAAGTTTTGTTGTTATAAGTTCAACAAACAACTAATAGCAATAAAATTAATTTACCTAGTTGTTATTGTTTTCAGAACCTTTGTTAAATATTATAATGAAAAATTCCTAGACTTACTATGGTATAAGTACCTATTTTATTTATAAAAACTATTTGGCAGTAATATTATTGTATACCGTAGCTAAATGCCACTTTTAATTATATCACAGCATTAATTCAATTGATTTCAGTAAATTTAAAAAACCTCTGTGCTCACTGCCATTATGTTAGTTTCCATTTTTCTCTTTACAAATAAAAAATAATTTTATTCAAAGATTACTTTGTATTATTCGAGTTGCTTTTGCATAACTCGAACTACTAGTTAAATTTCAACATGATATTAATTCGAGTTATCAGATCCATGACAACACTGACAATTCTATTCTCTTTGGTTTAACGTCATGAATTGACGTTTAGATCCAACAATTTGTGCTGCCATCTAGTGACATAAATTTTTGTAGTTTCTTTATTTTTTTTAAATACTTCCTCATTAAAAAATGCTTGATCTTACACATGTGTTTTTAATTATATCATATACTATATTTGAGGGAACGTAACGACCTAACGCACACGATACCACCGCAGAGATTTTTAAGAGAGCATGACTACTCTAGGTATTTAGTAAATTATATATTTCAATAAAACTGATTTCTAGAGTAGATTGTGTATGAAGTCAATCTATTATTAACTATATTATTGTAAAAACCAAAAAGCACATACCCACCGTACGAATTAACTTAACACATGGCTCGACGTCCGCCGTCGACATGCAAGATCAGTAGCAATAGTATAATAACTGTGTCTTTGTGATTTTTAAATTTAAAGTTATAACCTTGCTGTTCGTTTAGACAACAACACTGACAATCCTATTCACTTTGGTTTAACGTCGTTAGACGTTTAGAGGTTTCAACGTTAGACGTTAAGATCCAACAATTTGTGCTATCATCTAGTGAATTAAATTTTAGTATTTTTTATTTTTAAAAAAACTTCCTCATTCAAAAAAGTATTTAGCTAAAAATCTTACTCTACGTAAACCACCCACTAAAAAAAATGTTTGTAAAAATCGTAAAAAGTACGTTTAATATTAAATGTATTAAAAAATCGGCCAATATTTTAAGCTACTAAGCCTGTTCTTACTTCGTGTAATGTTGCAAGTAAATTAATTTTCAAAACTCAATAAACACCTCATATTCTATTTGTGCTTTTTCGTGTTTGTTGGAAATTTAAATTTTTTAATATGTTAGTTAAAAGGAACGGAAATGACAATCGTAGTCCATTCGTTTCCTGCAAAAATCAACTTTTGGTAGAGTCGCCAGCTAGTGAGTTGCTTTTATGCGCTTCTTGTTTCTTAAAAACTTCCTCATGATACTTATCACATACCTTTTGATAAAACTTAATTTATGAATAGATTTGTGTTTTCGGATTATGACGACTGTTACAGTAAGAAGGTAAAAATAAATATTATGCTTAAAAACTAAAGTTAAAAACTTTATTTCAAATAGTTTTTTTTTATTAAAGACAACAAAGACACTGACTAATGGCTTAAACGGTAAAGTCGTCTCAAATTTAGGTTGTCTTTCTTTATTTCAAATATTCAAACATTTTTATTCTCTTCTTCAATCCATTATTTCTCATGGCAAATAGGGAAATTAAAATTTGATGTTTGCGACACCAAGGAAATTCGAGTAAATGATCTTGATACTTATAATATTATTAATTATTTAAATTGTAATATGAACATGGAAATTTTGATTTTTTACGTACATATACTATATATAAATTTAAAATATTTCATAAAAACATAAAATTTAACAATATCAATGAGGAAGTATTAAAAAAAAGCATTAGTTCCCAAAATCAAACTACATGTAGCTACAGTACATTCATGATTTCAACCATTCAGGTTTTCTTTCAAGTTTAAAAGTAAAAAAACAGTTTTCAAAAGTCAATAAACAACTTATATTCTATTTGTACTTTTTCGTATTTGTATTGATATATAAGTTTCGAACTTTTCAAATTTCAGTTTTTTTATTAAGTTAGTTAAAAGGAACAGAAATGACTGTTTTTGGTCCATTCGTTTCCTCCAAAAATCAGCTTTTGCTAGAGTCGCCATCACCTCTAATAGGATTTTTACACCTCTAAGGTGGTTTTCAGGTGCTTTCGTTTTTTTTTTAAATACTTGGTCATTGATTGGTTGGGATCGAATAGTACCATACCATATGATAATATAGCATGGTTGGCAACCCTTGCTACGGACGCAATATCCACAGATAACCATAGAGAACACAACTTATATTTGTTATGTTATAAGTTGTCATAGATTCTTTGTTGTGTATAGCCAAAGAGCAAGCTTTCGCGTTGCGCGCGCATAGCATCTGGCCTGGCATCTGCCGAACCGACCGATTATGGCGGACGGGCAGTGAAGGATGATTGTCGTCTTTTTGAAATCAGAAAGAATCGACATCAGCCAATGGCATAAACCGGGTTTTTTGTAAAATTTGTACATTGTAAATAGTTCTGTGTACATATAGTAATTATATTTGTGCTCGTTTTGTTTAGAAATTGTGTGAATAGTGTATTATTTTCAGTGTTTATTCAGTTTAGTTTTGAACGCCGACAATTACCTAAAACCTTGATGTTAGTACACTGGCAAAACGAATTTTACTTCTAGATTTGAAATTCCTTTGAATTTCGTTTCTTCAAAAGCATCGATTTCTCGTCTTACCTTTGTGTTTCGATCCGTCAAGTATACGGTTCCTGCAATCTCATTATTTTGGTTGTCCATAGCGGCTGTCATCGTGTTTCGATAAAACTACCATCTGTCATTACAAACACAAAAAGACTGCTGCTGTAGCTAAATAGCTTCAATGCCTAGATCTGTTTATTGTTAATTGTTCTTCTATCATGTAAATCGATTACGCTAAACGTCCTATCTCTATTACATTCAACGAAATAACGCTATATACCTACATTAATTGAAGATTGGAGGATTTGTTTGTTATTACGGTAAACAGAAGGACAGTGAAACTGAATGCTTGAACCTCACGGTAGCCCAATGAAGTGGCCGGGTACGGGAGTGGAAGAAGAGGCGGGCGAAGCAGCTTTGCAGAGCGCTCGCGCCCCACAAACTCGTACCCAAGATGATGCCGCTGTTCATTACGTATTTCAAAGAGAGTCTCAAGAAGCTGAGTTGCCTTCATTAACTCCAAAACAACGTTGGGCAGTCGGCGACGATCCATTAACTGAAGTAAGTAATATGTAAATATTTTTTTGTAGTTTTGTTTATTATCATTTATTTACAAACAATCAAACTACTATATAAAATTAATCTATTTTTGTGCTTGTATTTAAAGTAATATGTATGTCTTTACTTATTGTTTCAAAATGCTGATCTTATAAATAATAATTTCAGAATCAAGATAAATGGAAGAATCCTACAACAATCACTATGAATAATATGCAGCAACAAGGCCCTAATGTGCCTTTAAAAAATTCCCAAACAAATCAACAGCAATTCATTAATCAAGCTATAGCTTCCTCTGTAGGAACCTTGGCTATAAACCCATCAGTAATTGGAAGCCATCCAGCACATCTGGCTACTAATATGGTTCATACTCAACTGGCACCTTTGCAAAATCACACTTTGGGAAATAATATGACTATACAAAACAATGCTATGATGCTTCAACCTCTTCAAGGTATGCAAAATGCTCAATTGGGGCAACAAGGGTTATATGATATACACCAACACCCTGGAACACCAATGCAAGCCATGAATGGTATTGGTAAAAGTGCAGAACATCTAATGTATTTAAGTCAAGCTGGAATGCTTGCACCAGGGACTAATCAGTTCTTGCAACAAGGTCAAAACCAGCTTGGTCTCACATCTGTTCCAGGTATCAGAAATCAGGTAAGTGTTTTTGATTAATTTCTTATAATTGATATTGACTCTAAGGCTCCTTACACTAACATTAATTTGAAATTGGACTAAATTGTATTTTATTGAAAACATAAGAAACTATTTTGATAATCGACTTAAAAACCTTGTTTGTGGTTATACTATTATGGGTGGCTTACGCAACATTTGGTAAAAACAGATTTTAGTTAAATGCATTTATCTTGCTAAATGTGTTCAGCCTAAATACAATTAAAAAGATCTCGCTCACGTCCGATGGTATTTTTACCAATCGTAGTTGAGTCGGTAAAGCGGTTTTTTGCGTTCCCTTTTATGTTTTCGTGCATTTACACTTTAAAAAAAATATTGGTGAAATGGACCTATGAGCTTTCAACTGTCACATCAAGTCGACCGAGCTGTCAAGTCACACAAATTGTGTTGTTGTGATTTGTGTTCTCTTGCTATTTCTCATAGTAATTTATATTAATAATAATTGTTTTAGTTGAGTTCAGTAATAATTACCATGGCAAACAAAATTTCTATAACCTCAAAATGATGACGCGCAATTGCTACTAAACGTATTTAGCGATGCTAAATAGCCACCTTTGGGTATTTAACTTTGACAGTTCCTTAAATATGATTAGTGCCTAAATTTTTGTTGTGCAAGATGCTAATTATAATTAGCAGACTAAATGCGTTTACGTCGCTCTTAAACTGTATTCAACGACGATGCGTAAGCCGCCCTTACTTATTAAAGATAAACATAATAAATAAATTAGTTTTGTGTTGTCTAACATGAGGTTGACTACTTTGGCATAGTGAAGGAATATATAGTTGTAAGACTAATAAACCTATAACACCCTGTTGTTTTTGCGTCGTAGGTTAAAAAACATCCATACTAACTTTATGAAGAGGAATTTTTTTTTTTATTTGTTAATACTAAATAAGTTCCAAAATACCGGACTGATTTTAAATTTTATTTCACTTGGGGGAAGCTCAACTTACATAGGCTATAAGTTTACATGGGTGGACAGGAGTTTATGATATTTATCCAATTAAATTATTTACTTATTGATAATGTTACCAGATGGTGCCATGATTTTAAAATGTTGCTTAAACATTGAATAATTGCATAAATAAGTAAATTTATTCCTTAATAATATATTATTAAAATAATGACATACTCTAATAAAAAGAACCTAAATATTATTATCCATATATTCTAAAAAACTAAAAAAGTCATATACCTATTCAATTTTTAAAGTACATCAGATAAACCCTTATTTTTATATTTCAGATATGAATAAATAATCAGATCTTTTTAATTTAATTACAAACAAATCATAGTTTCTTTATCATAATAATTATCTTGGTAAATATAGTACCTTGATAATTATAAAATACAACACAAAATCTTTTTGTATTTAAGACTTGTTATTAAAAGGGGAATCATCTTTAAAGAACTATCTAATTTGATTTTTCTGATAGAGAAAATTATCTTGTACACAGAAAAAAAAAATTAAAACCCCCTTTTATATTTAAAAAAATATTTTAATTTCGCTTATTGTTCAATGTGTTTTCACAGTAAAAATGTTTGCTTATATTGTATGTATAATTTTTATAGTTTAAAACATTAAAAATAGATTTACTTCAATTATTAATGCCTTTCTGTATTAAAAAAAATGCATATATGGCTAATTATAAAAAAAAAAATTATCTTCATAATTACGAACCCTGGATTTAATCTAGCTCCTTTTACTTAATCACAGCATCTTAAACCAGTATTGTGGACTTTTTCCTTTGGTATTGCCAACAATGAGCAGTTTTCCAAGACTATCATCCCCTCCTTTGAGAAGAGGTATGTAGTACAAAAGATGGTTGTCCAGCTTATTATTATACAGTCTTTAGTCGCACGGCGGGCTTTTCCGCAACTCGACACTCTGTGCCTATTTTGCGTGATACGGGTTGGCATCAGTCTTGCCACCCCAGCTCCTCCAGGAACCCCATAAGTTCCTGAACTCTGCCGCATGCCTCTACTAGTGTCCTTGGGTTACCTAGATATGTAGCCCTTTGTCTTGATAGGCCTCTGCATTCCAGTATAACATGGGCACTTGTCTCTTCAGCCTCCATGCACGCCCTGCACAGAGGACTGTCTGAATAACCCATATTATAAAGGTGTTTGTTAAAGTTTCCATGTCCAGTTAGTATACCTACTATTTGCCTTAAAATTTGTCTAGGTAATTTGTTCAACTTACGTGCTAGACGTAGGTCTACCTTCGAAATTGCTTCTTTGGTTTGCCTGCAGTCTGCCGTTTGTGACCAGTATTCATCATGTTGTCGTAAGCTACGTTCTCTTACTCAGTTTCTGAGCTGTCGAAATGGGATGGGTAAAGTGGGTTCCGGTCCGATGGGTTTCCTGCTGGACCCCTCTCTAGCCAAGCAGTCTGCTGCGTCATTACCCCTCGACCCGCTATGTCCCTTGATCCATTGCAGAGTCAATTTGTTAAACTTACATACATACCTTCGCTAATTTACAATGGCATTCGTGTATTAGACCTGATGTCATTATATTGCTGTCTAGAGCTTGTGATACTGATGCACTGTCAGAGAGTATACGGATGTTCTTATTTCTCACTCCCCGGCATGCAATTGCCTCAGCAGCCTTTATTATACCCAAATATTCTGCCTGGAAGACCGTGTTGTAGGTGCCCAGTGCCGTAGATATGTGGATATTTAGGTCCTCTGAGAAAACACCCGCACCTGTACCTGAGTTAGTTTTAGAGCCGTCTGTAAAGACTCTTAGCTCCTTGTGGTGGAAGGAATCTAGTGTGTCCTCGTAGAGTTGTATTTTGTATTTTTTGTCAAATACGTACCTTCTGGGAATTACGTCGTTTATTGCCTTAAAGAATGGGAATTCTTTATAGATATTCTTTAGAATGCTAGTGTGCGGAGTGCCATCATCCCTCCACAGCCCCAACGTGTTTAAACGTGTGGCGGTGCACATGGCCTCCTGTTGTATGAACAGTACAATAATATGTCTTTGGCCATATGTTAATCCTTAGGATTTTCTTTATTGGGTCTGTCTCAAAGATTCAATTTATGATGTTTTTAATGAAGGGCTTGCATTGATGAAAATATTTAAATAAAAAGTAGTATTAAAAAAAATATTTGTATAAACATCAAACGAAAGAATAGATTTCCCAAATTCCAAAAGTGCTTGGTTATTCATGACTTCCTGGACATGTTATTTATATTTTTTTTTATACATATAATTTTCATAATTTATATAATAAAAATTGCATCTTGTTCAATTTACTATTGCAAAAAACGACAAATAATTTTGTTCTATACCATTAAAAACTATTTGAAGGTCATGTGGTTGATTTCCAGTCGACCTGTCAGGAACTCATTGTTATGATTATGTGCTCTACACTTGTTTAATGGTGCCTATTGCAGGTTATATCTATACTAATACTAGCTTTTGCCTGAGACTTTGTCCATGTTGTATTATAGGTGACTACTTTGGGCAGTATTTACAAAAACGCTAAAACAAATATTTATCCATTATATATCACGTAAAATACAAGAATATACTGTTTTATCTTAGACTTCCATACAAACTTTAATTGCCTATTTCAACACTTATTACAGTAAGAAGTAACCTATGTCCTATCTCAAGTCAATTCTGATTAGTGTTTTACACGTGAGCGCGTAACAGATATACTTTGGCATGTATAATATTAGTATGGATTAATTCCATTTTTCTTATCGCTCCTTATATCATATAAGAAGAGATTACTAACTGTTACCCAAATAAATAAACTAAAAACTTAAATTTTTCCAGTTTAAATTTGATGAGATTTTTTGTAAATTAATGAAAAACATTGAGGCTAGTTCAATATGTATGTGTCTTTGCCAACTAGTAAAACATCTGTCCGAAGGTGGCTAGCCCTATAATAGAATAGCGCAATTCATTTGCACGGCTAAACATCGATCAGCTGAGTAACAATAACAAAGTCCTACAATGCAGTTGTCCAGGGATGCTCAACTACAAAGACACTACGACAAAAAGCTATATTTATTTATTTTAGGTACAGCAACAGCTATACATGAAAATGCGTATTTAAAATATAGGAAATAATTATACATGATGGCCAATAACTGGTAAACACAACATTGTTAAAAAATATCTTAAGCTATTTGAAAATACATCAAAACTACCATATAAACTAAGACAGACCAGGAAAATAAATAAAACATTTATTAACACATGTAGACCTACTTAATTTTAAAATGTTTTAGCACTTTACCTCTGAAAAAATAAAACTTTTTATCTTATTTGGAATACAGATGGAAAGAAACATAAATTTGAAGTTTAAATAAAACTTTAATTTAAAACTAAAATCTAAGCAAAATTCATTTCTATCTAGTTAATATAGCAAAACTTAAAGTTCTTACTATATTTTATTTTAAAACTCAACCTTGACTAAAACAGTGCTATGTTGAATATACTTAACGCCATCTAGTATAACGCAAAATAAATTAAAAATCGTTTACGGTATACGAAAATAATATTATTTGTACTTAAATATTTTCAAAAATTTATATTTTAAATATTTCATTTGTATTAATTATGTACTGAAATACCAATTTTCATCACTATGTAAGGAAATCTTTAATAGATAGAGAATATTAAATAGATTTATTAAAATGATAAATCAAAATTGGGTGAAGACACGGTTGCTGTGGCAACATTTTAATGCTTCATAAAAATTCGACTGCGATCGCATCTCGTCTGCATTCATTTTACTTACATGCTGTTTTTGACATGCTCAATTCTCGAAACCGCACAATTTGGTTCAGCACCGCATTGTGTTTAACGACCTGCACAAAAAAAATATTCTAACGTTCCTTTTACACTGTTACCAGAACTCTTTTTCTATTTTATGCCATTATCTTTTATCTCGGCGGTGTACCTTCTATACCTGCTGGAAGCACATCCAACATTTAAAATA